CCCCCCTCTGCCATCCATTATGAATGCAGCCTAACAGCTACTTTACCGACATGCCACATCTGATGTCAATCTTACTGATCACATACATACTTACCACTTTGGATGGTACATATACGTATGGGAGTTTACTGTCTTCACACATTATTGGAATATGAGAAATAACATCAATAGGGGATACATCACCAGCTAGAATAACCAAACTAGAATGGAGAAGAAAAAAAAGAATTATGCAACTACAAGAAAATGGGAGAAATTTGATTAGAAATGGGAGGGACTTTTTGGAGAGTAAGATGATGGGAATGATCGTAGTTAAAGAAATGTTAAAAACTTTGGTAGCTTTTCCAGCAAGAATCTGGGGTTTCCAGGAAGCCAATGGTACCCGTTTTATCCCCCCTCTCCTAACCATAGGTAATGCTTCTCACACATCTTGAGTGCTTAGGGTGCTTCCTACAAGTGCTTCATTACTGAATGAAGCACGGAAAAAGCTGTTTTATTTGTTTCATTATATAGCTACTAATTTTATTTTTGGTATTGAATTTATTTATCCTAAATATATTATAATAATTACAGTTAGCACACTAAATGTAAATCCTTCACAAACTTGTTTCTGATATTCTTGTGTGTACAGTGTTTATTATGTGTATCTGTGTGCGTGCGTGTGTGTGTGCGTGCGTGTGTGCGTGCGTGTGTGCGTGCGTGTGTGCGTTGTGGGGGGAGGGGTGAGGAAGTGGTAATACTTTACTTTTGAAGACAAACAGTCCAGTTAAAACATAAGATAATAATATATTACAATAGTAAAAATTATAATTCTTCGTATAAAGATCGAACAAATYCAAATATATCATCGCCTTTTTCATACTGATTGATTATCCAAAAATTATACATCAAAGATCCCACACGACTTCTCTTACCCCTTCTCGCCCTTTCTTATGGCCTTTACGACTTCCTTTACTCCTCTTCTTAGAGACTTAGCCTTGGTAGCTAGATATAAAGCGGGAGGAAAAAAGCCAAACTTAGACACTAAAACTCACAAACAAAGGTTAGGTCCAATCATTTTAACTCTACCTTTCTTAACCACTTTGTAAACTTTCTTCGTCAATTTTCGACTTGCAAGTGGCTTAGATATCACAGTAACTTTGGACGCTAGTTCGTCGTAATCGGGTCTAGATTCGTCCTTATTTTCACCATCTTCTTCTTGCTTGTTRTTCTTATCTTTCTTCGCCATTTTGTTCTCCACGTGCGCGTCTGAAGAGGAAGGCCTGGTAACGAATCGTGGATAGCCACTGACCAGTAGATATGACAGGCTCTTTCCCGCCTTTTTTCAACTTCAAAAACTAAAAATGAGGCAGAAAAAATTTGATTTACAGCCAATTTTTATGCCTTTTTACCTATTATAAGGGGATATAAGTCGTATTACAAAATCAAAATGTTAGTTTATTCCCTTTTGTTTACAAAATGTCGAAAAAAAGCAAGAAAAGTACGTCTTGTTGGGTTGTGGATGGTTTTGCTCCAAGGTAAGTGCTTGACCTTGTTTTATGATATAACATTGTTCATCATGTACTAGTGTTCTATTGCTTGGTATCAAYCAGCTGAATGAATCTCATTACCAGCCTGCAATGACAGGCAAACACTGCCCATAATGTGCTATCAACCAGAGAGTATTCTATTGTGTGGTATAAATCAGCTTACTTGTTTGCATTGTGTTCGGCACTTGTGGGCTTCAGCATCTGAACCAGGCCTTGCATTATGTAATAATCTGTTGCCTTGGAGGGCCACAGGGTTGTCATCAGTTTTCTAAAACTGTAAGTGTTACCCTCTTAAGATAAAGTCTATTGTATTGTGTTGTGTTGTGGCTGAATGAATCTCATTATCAGTATACAATGATAAGCAAACACTGCCTGTTATGTGCTATCAACCAGAGAGTATTCTATCGCTTGGTATCAATCATGAGTTATATAGTTATATATATATATATATACTTATATTTTACAACCAGGACCACAGCGGTGGGAGGTGAGCGGTAAACCAGCTGACAATGCTGTTATGTGCTGTCAACCAGAGAGTTAGAAGAGTATAGTATTCTATTGCTTGATATCAATCAGCTGAATTTATCTCATTACCAGCCTACAATGACAGCCAAACACTGCCCGTCATGTGCTAACATGTGGTTGGGGGTAGCCAGTTTTAGAAGTATAGTAGAGGGAGGTCTGGAGCATTTAATTACACCCCCACCACCACCACCACCACACCCCCCCCTTTGCCACCACCACCAACACCCCCACCACCACCACCACCACTACCACCACCACCACCCCCACCACCATCAACATTAACACTAACATCAATACCACGAAACATTCATCATATTATCATATTCAATCCAGATCTTTAAAGTTGACCGACACGGAGAAGCATCACGATACAAGCCTTTCAAGGAACTTCACAACCGTCAACTGCTCTGGCATGGATCTTCTGTCACCAACTATGCGGGTATCTTGTCACAGGGGCTTCGTATTGCACCTCCTGAGGCTCCAGTGGTAAGTCCAATCTCGTACCCAGAACCCTTATTTTTACTGTGCATGCTCAACGGAATCCAATCTCGTACCCAGATCCCTTATTTTTTACTGTGCATGCTCAACGGAATCCGATCTCGCACCCAGAGCCCTTTTTTTTCTGCGCATGCTCAACGGAGTCATTTTTTCGTCGAGCATGCGCAGTAAGAAATAAGGGCTCTAGGTATGAGATTGTGGTAAGCCAGGCCTATTTTGCATGATTGACATTAAAAGTGAGTGTTTTCGATGTTGATTTTAGACTGGCTACATGTTTGGTAAAGGTGTCTACTTTGCAGGTAAGCTAAACTAATTTCTTTGGCCTTGAAATTGTACTAAGATATTTTTTTAAAGGAGCAGAACTCAACTTTCTTTTCTTCTTTTTTTTTTCACTTCAGATATGGTGTCAAAGGTGAGTAATGTCAACATGTCTATCCTATTTTCCCAAATTGTACGAAGGCAGTATTTTACAAGGAATACCATATTTCATTTACAGTCTGCCAACTACTGCAGAACAACACCAACCAACAATGTTGGCTTGTTAATGCTTTGTGAAGTAGCTCTTGGAAATATGTGAGTATTACCATCTTGTATCGTTCTGTATACAGCTCTGTGCTATGTTGCTAAGCTAGCCAGTGTGGCTTTTTTCGTCACTATGTTAATAAATAGATTTTGGCTAGTACAATTTAATTTGAAATTCAGCGTATCATGTTTTGTGGAGGAAGGAAAACCTGAGAACCCTGAGAGAGACATAAAAAACTCTACTGACCTGTGTTTATTTGTTAGGCATGAATTGAAGGCAGCTAACTTCGTCACTAAACCACCCAAAGGAAAACACAGTGTAAAAGGTGAGCTATACCATGCAACATCATAACACATGTACCCCTGACATTATGCTACAACACACAACACCACACCACAGCACACCTAACGACACCACACCATACCACACCACATGTACCCCTGACATTATGCTACAACACAACACAACACCACAGCACAGCTCACCTAACGACACCACACTACACCACACTACACCATATGTACCCCCACATTATACTACAACACACAACACCACAGCACACCTAACGACACCACACCCTACCACACCACATGTACTCCCACATTATACTACAACACACAATACAACACACCTAACGACACCACAGCACACCAAACCACGCAATACCGCACAGCAACATACCACGCGTTGCATCACACCATACAACACAGCACCGCGCCACACGCTGCATCGCTCATTACCACAATGGTCACACTACCACCACACCACAACATACTTCACAAAACCACACCCTGAATGATGGACAATGGGCCAATTCAGTTTGGGTTTTTGTTGTATTTCAAGGTTTGGGCCGTACAGCACCTGATTGCAAAGGCCACAACGTTCTAGAAGACGGTACTATTGTACCAATGGGGAAAGGTGTGGAGAGTAACGTCAAGGACACTAGCTTGCTATACAATGAGTATCCTTTTGAAACAGACTTTATGACAATAACAAAATGAGGCATATTTGGGCCAATATTGTAAGTTTCTTTGCATGTGAACCATTTTGGATGATATGGTCGGGCGTTTGATCGTTTGGGTAGCGAGTTGGGTATGTATGTTCGCTACCCTTTAGGCTGCTCTTGTTTCTAATAACATCACCCAGAGTTACCCAAGAGGTTTGGGCCAGCAAATGGATCTGTTTTCGTGGGGGTCTATTCTCGCCTCTAGATAAAGAGTAGCCTTCGATCCAAAAACTTCACCAGCAACCCTTGAGCATGGTTGGGCCTTCGTGTTGTAAGAAACGTTATTCCTCACGGTTTCTGTGACGTACCTTAACTCACCGCAGATACATTGTATATGACGTATCTCAAATCAATATCAAGTATTTACTGAAGTTAGAATTCAAGTACAAATATGGATGGTAGTCGCGTCATTTCCCTGTGCAAAGAAAATGCCTGGTAACAGTCGCATATGTGAGGACAAACCATAGACTTTGACGTGTATGCAATTTGTTTTGGTTTCATTCGTAGGTCAGTCGTCAATGTCTGCGAAAAAAATAGCTTTTACATCATAAGAGAGGAAAGGTATTTTTTACATTCCGGTGTTAGGCATAAGTTGTGTTTATGCACACATGAAATGCTACAGTATTGCATCAGTTGTTTTGTTTCTCTAATCAGTAGAGTGGTTTTATCTTACCAGTGAAAAAATAGTACGCACAAAAGTTAGTAGTAGACTCTAAAACCATTGTTTTCTTTGTATGGTGGTTTTGTATCAACTAGTAGTAACTAAAATAGTCATTTTTCTTTCACGGTTTAATGAAATAACTCTACCTTTTTATTGTTACTGTTTATATAACCCATTAATAGCACTAAGTGCATTTACGCACACGTTATTAGGGGACAACCATAACATGGTGCACTTTTACCTTTAAGACATCCCATGATGCATCACGGGAATGTCTGTCAATTTCCGGGCATTAGACCTATGGTGACCAGTTTGCATCTACATGCGATACCTTACCTCCCCACCCCCCACGAGTTTAGACTTCTATCTGAGGTCATAAGTACATAGTATTAAATCGGGCGCCAAAGAGGGGCGTAAGATCTTAATGCATGCAGCGAGACTTCGCTAAAGCTCTTCAAATCGAGCGTACTTCTTACGCTACAAAATGTAAACCTTAGATTTCAATTCATGGTTTTAGATCGTAATAAAACTCAAAATAAATATCTCGATAAGCTTCCCCCACTTGGGCAAGTTCTAGACTGTAACGCGAGGTGTCAATTTGAACCGGAGGCCCCAAGAGCACGATAAGAGCTATCTCAATAGACTAGTAAGTGATACTCTGTCCCCGTCTGTTGGCAATCCTTGGTTTGAATACTTAGTCTAAGACGTAAGTATTTTACTCGGTATCAAAGAAGTCAGACATAGCTTCTAGTGCTCTTGGTGGTGTTTGCAGAGGGATTACAAACCCAGACGAGACGTCAACAGCATTTCTGAAACACGACATCCAAAATGTTATCAAGATTGACCCTTTTCGAAAATAAACATGTGAAGTGCATGCGAGTTTGTTCTGGATAGTGCTCTTGATAACGATAATTTCGTAGTTGTTTTGCTAGTGGGTGAATGCCTGAATTGATGCATTTGATTTGTATCAATAATCTTAAAAGAAAATCTACATTTTTGTTTTTTGAGAAAGCTGTTGTGAGATCTTTTAACACGCCCGGTAACACCGCTTTTCCACTTCGATATGACACTACTTGTATATATTGCAAGATCGGGATCGTTTGTTACGAAGGCAAGTCAAAGATTGATTAGGAAATGGATAAAATGTATATTGTGGTGAAAATGCGTAGAGAGGTATCCACGTTCATTCATTATTCTTGCATCTGCTAGCTCAATTAATAAGCAGTAGTTATAAATATTCAATGATCCAAGGTGCGAAAATAGGCAGGAAGTGACTGACAACTGAAAAAAATATCTGGTCAACATGAAACGGTTTGAGAAAATTTAAAATAGTAGTGAAAATGTCTGAATTTAATCTCACATTATAGGGGAAATTCAATCTAAAAGTTTGCCATCTTTTTTTTTTTGGGGTGGGGAAGGCGGTCAGTAGTAACACCAGCATGAGTAAGGGGTTAAAAGCTTGCTGTTTATAATGAAGTATTTCATCCCTTAAAAGCCACATTCATGAATTTGGTAAAGACTATTGCACTAAAATTTTGCTGAATGAGGATTCATAGCCATGCGGGATAATGCTGAAATACCGCCATGCTGAAATACCGCTCTTCGAGTGTTTCAGTGTGGACTTGATCATGCGACTTGCGGCAAAGAAGTTGGCTAGTTTTCTAAATGAAAGACCAAAATTTTAAATTTATTCAAGCAATGTTACTTCAACAGCTACAAAAAAAATATGTTTAAAGCTTCCGATTTCTAAATGTCGCCATGGTGAGGATCTCGCGCAAGGCTACACGGACAATCTAGAATCCCAAAGCTCTCATTCACTAAATATCTCTCCCAAAACCATTTTTACTTCTGGCATTGATCAGTCATTTTTCAGTTGCTTTAATGAAAAACAGTCGGAGGATGCATTAAATTATTAATAAGCCGCAAAAAGACCACACTTTGGAAATTAAGATCCACGTAGAAACCGCCTGCGCAATGATGGCCTTCTATTTACGAATTCTATTTTCTATCTATTAGGCCTACAGAAACAAGTTATATTAATAAATGTTGCAAAAATAATTATTGTTAATATTCCGGTGAGATTTAAATGACTGAATCCTGTTAGTATATAGCATTTCCAAGTGAGATATCTATAATTGAATTTTGTGTTTTCCATGTTTGCAGTGAATTTTTTTCGCGCGCTACATGGGGTCGACTTTTGATCTGTTTGCCTATAATTTTGAAAGTCATTGCCTTAATTCCCTAGTCATTTAGTCTTTATGTAAACAATCGTTATTTCTTATTAGACGATTGTATTGTATATCTTATATATAAACAGTTTCAGTCGATTCAATTGTAGCAAGGGCGTTCTTGAATCTAGACGTGGGTGAAGTTATGGTCAAGGCCAAGTTTACTTTGTTGTTGTTGTTGTTGTTTTTCTTCAGTTTTTTTGTTTGTTTTTGTTTTTCACTTTGTTTGTCTTTATACTTGAGTTTCCTTCGCTGTATTATAAAACATGGGGATTTAAAGCGGATTTCCTCGATCGTTCATTAAGAAGCGAAAAAAGCCGCGCGTATATCAGATGAGATTGAAGTGATAGTAGAAAAGATTTATTTTTCAATCACGCAACCCTCGAATTTATTAACCTCCTATCCTACACACTTTACAAGGGGGAGAGGGGTTGACTTGAAGTTATCTTGGTCAAGCTAATAAGATTTTTATTTATCTATTTATTTATTTATTTATTTATTTATTTATTTATTTACTTTATAAACCGTCCTTATTTCCACTAATGAATGCATGCGATTTCCTAATTATGACGACAACCAAATCTATCCGTTGGTTTTGATAAAGGCTCTTTTCAAATTATTTAGAAAGCAATTTGTCCTTTGTATAGCCCACATAACAAGAACAGAAGGAGGTTAAGTTGTATATCAGTCATTCATCTGCTTGTGCAGCAAACGTATCTCTATTTGGGCAACCAAAAAATTCAATTATTTGGACAAATAGCAATTGGATTGGCTGCGGTTTTGACCTCCATACTTTCTGGAGCTTATTTAATAGTCCGAATCAAAAAAATCTATAGTGTTGTGACTATTTTACCAAAGCTAAAGTTGTACTGATGAATCATCGCACGCGATGCACGTATATATATATATTTATTTATTTCCTTAGTAATAGACCCATTCAATTTCAATAATTTTCAATCTAGGGGGTTTTTTTCTCTCCCAATTATCATAGTTCTCCAGTAAAACGTTTTCACGGTTTTAAGCCCCCAGCTTGGTATTTAGTGCAAGGGGTCTGTAGTGACGTAAATTAGGTAAAGTGCAAGCCTGATTATATTTTTATTGAGCCACTTTTATAGACGGATGTCTATAAGCTAAGAGGGTTCGTAAGGGGACTTTTTGCTGACAATAAAGAGACGAACTGACCCCTGATTGGTTGAGTCTTATGCAGGCCAGTGGTATGCGCTGTTTGAAACCCTTGGTTTCGACCACAGGGCAATTAGCGAATGCATGGGCTATTGACTAAGCCTGCGTGGCGGCTGACTCCCCAATCCCTCCCCCCTTTCGTTTTCCCTCGTTCCCAATCACCTAGAGCCGCCAAGCAGGCTACTACCGATTGTTTTAGTCAAATCCAACTAGACGTCGGTCAAATATATAGATGTAAACGAGTTTTGAATTAAAGGTACATTTAATGTTTTGGGTTTCAAAGGCGGCACTTTTCGCTACTGACTAATATGCCGATAACTTATAGTCTAGTAGTAGCTCATCCAATCAGAACGCAGCATTGATTATATAGACCGCTAGTTGGATTTGACTAAATTATGCGCAAAAGCCCTATCTCCTCCCCTCACAGGCTTTTGTGTCCGACTCGTCAATATGCATTTGATAATCACCTTTTTTTTATGCACATGTCTCATCATTTCACTCCAACTAAGACTTCTCAGCTTTGACCTGAGAACGGCTAGAGTGGAAGGACTAGAGAATTCTTCTCAATGCATTGACAACGGTTTTATATTTCATTAAAAGTAAAAAATTGAGACTTTCTATGCACTCATCTACTATATAACCTAGCCAAAAATAAGTAGGTAGATATCGTATGGGGATAAAGGCCTTTTAGAAGCGGCTAAGACAAATGAAAACGATATTGACAACCAAAGAGTACTTTTATCGTGAAAGAGAAGCTGTTAATAGGCGTGAACATCATAAGGAGTAATCAGAAGCGTTGAGAAACGATAAACCAATTGTCACGACTAAAAGCGTAATCGCTCTAGACGATTTGGGTGGATAAAACTGGATGGAAGGATGAACGGACGGATAGACAGATGGATGGATAGATAAATGAAAGGACGGACGGATGGAGAGACGGGTAACTGGACGGACGAAAGGAGTCGATGGACCGATGGATGGACGGACGGTCAAACGAAGGAGAGGATGGATGGATGAACGGATGGATAGGAAAATGAGTGAATGAAGGGTTTAGAAGGATGGGTGGATGAAATAGCAATGTTTTTACGATCACACTTCTAAGCTACTAGCATAGGTAGTTGATCAGTAAATGAACGAGATAACTGCTCGGAAATATTGAATATAAACACCGCTAAAAGTTGAAATTAAGGTTCGTGATGAATGATAAGATTCTCAGCAGGCGAAGACGGAACATCATCAATTATTATGTATATAACAGAGACAATGCAACAGAGAAAAAAAATGTATTTTTCTCCAGGGCTTTTGATTTAATATAAATACTGCTCTAGCGGTAGAAAATGAAACTGCTAGTAATGCGGATACATCAAAACCAATTCGTAAAAGAAAAGTGAATTAAAATATTGTTATTTTGAGGATTTGTGCATTAACAACCAAGCGTGATGGCGGCCCCATGGTGTCTTGATTATTGCAGAAATAATTAAACATAAAACATTGAATTAGAAAGAAGGACATTTAAAAATCATCCGAGACCAAAGGATTAAAAACGAAGCCGTACGCAATCTTAAGTTCTTCAACATGCACGGACACACTTAATTCTTAATTTTTAAGTTTCTAGACTAAAATGCGATGCCAAAATAGTCACGTGATTTGTGATTTCCTGGACGCTGAGCGCTAGCTGCATGCCCGGATCAAGTTTGGAGAACAGACGGACAATATTTAAATGTCTTAAATGCAAACCACTTAAAACGATACTGTGGGATGGGATAAAGAGCTTCTTCCATCAGTTTAATCGCCTGTTGAGCGGAAATATTAATAGCTTACCGGTAAGGTCGAGAAGATTTTCATTTTCTGCCGGATTTAGTGGAAATGATATTTTACAATTTTCCCCCAAAAAATTTTCTTATACTGAGCCGAGGTTAAGACAGTTCGTAAAAAAGAAAAGAAATAAGCACACCGTAAGGAAAGAAAAGGAAGAGAAACGAAAGGAAAGAGAAAGAAATATGATAGGAAATTTCATTATATTTTTTCACCACTTAATATAGAAATTTTCGAACTTGAAATTGAAAGACAAAGTATTGGCATCGAGTTCAGTTGTGTTTTATGTCAAAACAAAGATGCTATGTTCTTCCCGGACGCTATAAAGTTTCCCGCCATGAGTACTTTTGTTGATAGTCAGAAGAAGAAAGAAAAACATCACTTCCTTGACCCGGCCTGACAATCATTTAATTCAAATAGTATTACAAACCATAGGTGAGCACGTCTGTTTGTTGGATATCTTTCGGGCTCAACTATATTGACACGTCGAACTTGGTTTCATTAAAAACACGTAAGCTTTAGGACAACATTAATTGCCGAACTTGACTCTCTTATTGTCGAAAGTACAAAACAAAGACTGAACTGGTTGATTATTTATTGGTATTTATTCACATCTTGAAGGCTGGTAAACAAAGAAAGCTAGCGTCAGTCTGGACCCCGGTGATAAAGCTATTTTGATAAAATTAAAAGTCACATTTTTCTTTGCTTTTTCGGTTTCAAAACAAATGAAAACGAAAAAGGTATAATTTTTCAAGGACATTAAACCAAACGTGACATTTTTATTTTACATTTACATCGAAACTGAGAGTTCTGAAGTATACGTTTAATTTTGCTTTCTAAAGCGTTTTTTCTCAATTGATGCTGCCTACGCCGCGCCACCTTCGCTTTGGATTCTAGTTTTGTTTGTTTTGTGGTTTCAACAGTTATCTTTTCGTATCCGGGGGAAACAACACATAACTACTCATAACCACTTAAAACACAAGTATCACCACCAATAATCCTTTTAAAAACACCTTCACAAATATCCCTAAGTTTAGAACTTCATTCAATGTAAAAAAAAGAATGTCTGAAACTTTAGACAAAGCACCCAACCGACTTCAGTAATATAGTCTTTTCATTTTGTTATCACAAAAAATATTCTTCTTAAAGCAAATAAAACTTTGTTTATATTGTCATAAATGTATTCGGTAACCGATTATAAAGATATTTCACTTGATTTTATGAAATTTGAGGCGGGAAAAGTAGACGGTTAGTCCCCCCTGTGATAGTCAGCCAAGTGATACAAGGCGTGCAAGGGCTGGCGGGATTACCCACATGGCATTAGAAAACATGGCGGATCAATTCAGTACAGGTGTTGATGCAAGCTCAGAAATAACCGATGGAGATTCGAGAAAACGGCCTTTAGATGCTTCATCAGACATCCGTCAGCCTTTTAAGAGATCGAACTTTGGAGGTAGGTAGAATAATGATTATTTTTAATGCTTGTTCGTGTTGTTTATTGCTCAGTTGTGTTTGCTTCTCGTACTCTTTCGGACTTTGCAGTCTCGTCTTTATTTGCCTCGACAAGCATTCCTTCCCGTTTTTTACAACTTTATAAAGACAGGAAGAGCGATTTGCTCTTCTTTGAAGCGCTTGAGTTACTGCTGAAGAGTTACTGGTTGTTAAGTTTACAGCCATTACGTTGTCGAAGTGTCCGGTTTTGGGAGACTTGCAACTGAGATCAAACATAAACAAAAATCGTGTGCTCTTTGACACGAGCTAATCCAACTTCCAAGGCTTCATATTCCCTGTCTTCACATAGCAACACGTTCTGTATTCCTCGTAGAAGATAAGAATTAACTTGATCTTAAAGAATCAGCTGCCAATGTTGTCAGCCACAGACCTATTAGGAACAAGTCGATCTTTTTTCTTTCTTGCGCGGTTGGCTGATAAATTATTTATTCGCTTGGTCTGGCGGTGCTTTCTCAAAACCATGATGGATTCCCCTTTTTCTTATCACTAATTTTGCCATCTATGATGTCTTTCCACTTAGTTAAGAAAGCTAAAAACTCCTTTAAAGGCTCGACATTGTTATTATCTTGTCAAACGCATGAAAAAATTTTGGATACACGACTCGTTTTAATCGGTTTTTGCATGGATACTTTAAAACGTGGCTGCCACCGTAACACCCTGGATATTCTCTAAACTAAAATAAATTATGCGATCCCATTTATCTTTATTAAAACAATAAAGCCTAGAGGAGTTGTTATTACTGCTTATTGAATTTATTGTGTCGTTAAAATATATTTGGTGCGCGAGGTTTCCAATCGCTTTGCGATGGTTTTGGAAATGTTTCGTGTTTTATTTATGGTTCAAATCTCTTAATGTGGACGTTATGGTTTCATTAAAATGCTGCAAATTTATGAATACATTTACTGTTTTAGCATTAATCAGGCTTGGGACATCTGCAGGCAGCAATTCTATTGTAATGTAGAAGAAAATATATTTTCTGGTCAATCAAGCTGTTGTCGATCATCAAGGATTTCTAACTTTCCAGCCTTCATAATATGTCTTTCTTACCATTTACTCCAGGTATTCAAAATATCCTAATTCCATAATTTTCTTTCCTCTAGTTAAATTCATTTCTTATATTTCGTAGGAAGAGAATATTTATTGATTTACCAGCTTTGAACTTTAAGGAGTACAGTGTTTACAATATTTACATAAATACTAGAGATTCCATAGCTTGCATAGTTTTAGACTGTTTGAGTTTTTCTTGCTGAAAATGATACTATGCTGTAAATGTAGATCAGTTGGCGAAATCTGAACTGGATTTTTTGTTCAAGAGAATAAGATCCTAGTCTAGCTTCCTAGAAGTGAAAGCATATTTTGTATACACTTATTACCTATTCCAGGTGGTCTGTTAGCAGGACATCAATGTTTATGTCAGAAAAAAGACTTTACATTTTCTTCTAATTGAAAAGTCATTCCTTGTGATCTGATGCTTTTCCTTTGTCACTGAAATATTATGCAGATTACTAAAATGATAAGCAAATAGCAATCAGCATTTGTTTGTTGATCTTCGGCTTGTCAGTAAATTCTAATTTTGTCGAAAATGTATTTTATTACATATTTCCATGTTTTATCAAGAATTGACAGGTTGTTGGATTCTCTTAAGTTTGTTTTTGTAGATGTGGCCTTATTGTTGTGAATTGAAAATCATTCATTTTAATGATGAAAACCCCTCCATATTAGTAGTATTATCATGAATTATAGATCTACAAAGAAAAATCCAGAAATTCCGTAATGAATATAGATTTGATTCAGTAGATCATATAGCTCAGTCCCTTAAACTGTTGAAAAAATCCTTTTCACAAAATTAGTAGACTAGTTGCAATTCAAACAACTCTATTTGTGTTATCTTGAGACCTACTTTGTTTGTGGTTGAAGAACATGTATTATCTGTATTTTGGTAATTTCTAATTCCTAATCAATTCTGCTTTAAATTAAACTGAAAAGAAATTGCTTTTAAACTAAGTATTGATGAAGCCACATTCTGGTATCTATTTACATACTCTTTGCCACAGCAACAGAACAGAATTCTGACAATCCCGATCTCAGGATGGCCTAATAATTCACTCCTTAACACCTTATTTGCACTTCATAATCCCTCTCAAAACAAAATTAACAATTTTGCTTCACTAATTTTTCAGCGAAAGACAACAACTAGCTTGAGCTACTGGATCATTCTTTTAAAATTTTTTTATCTGTATTTACTAATTTCACTCCTTTAAGGTCATAATCATTACCAAAACAACTCTATTTGCCAGTCCTTTAAGTCATATAATTTATCATGCTGTCATATTGTTTAAAGAAACCTGGTCAAGACTAACCCAATTTTGTCTGACATTTAAGGGTTCTTTAAGGTTTCCAATGATTCAACTGCGACTCTAAAAGCTTTTTAGCTGCAGTACTAGTCTGTAGCACTCTGATGATGTACAATTTTGATTGACTCTCACAAAGTGAATTTACAGAATAACAGAACACACGTCAGTACAACCATATATTGTTAACTGTCAAGTAATCAATTATAGCTTTCTTTACCCTGAGGGTGTCTGTTTTAAGAGTGTTCCACCGTAATGAATAAAGTGGTATATTTTTTATTATTTTTCTCAGCATATGCATAAACTGGTTTGTTAGGTTAAGTGCTATCTGTAAGTCATTATGCATGCTCTTGAGTAGATTTCATATATTGCTAAGATTCAAGAGAGTATGGCAAGTTCAGAGGAACCTTTGTGTCGTTATTTATATAGATGTCTGTAAATCTGTTATAAAAAAAACCAATTTGAATTAGAGCTCTATTAGTTCCTTAATGAAAAAATATTTTGTCTTACCTTTTAGGACATTTTGCCTTAGGAAATCTAAGTCTAGGTGATTTGAAATATACTTTTTTACTAAACATATAGTGTATTAGGAGTATTAGTTGTGTACCATCATGCTTCACTGATCAATTTTGTTGATATTTGAGTGTTGTGTTGAGGTGAATGTTGATTGGAGCAGGAGGACAATTATCATAGTACTGGCTGTCCCTAGGGGCAGTCATTTTTGGACTTCATTCATTGATGAGATGTTGAGCATTTGAGAAGGCCTGTTCTTGTTTTTAAGTCTGTACTACACATTTTTCATCTCCGCAAGTCCTTTAGTTCCCTAACACACTTCATGATGGATTACTGGCTTGGTGTTGGCCTTTCACAGACAAGAAACCCCACCAGACAACATTTGCCAGGTTGTTTCATGAACATATCTGTTTACTGTTTTGATTTAAGTGTTAAAAAACCTGTTAAAGAATATTGAAACTGAATTTTTAAATTTTTTACTTTCATTGATTTTACCTCAGATATTTACCAAAAATTTAATTTAAAAACTCGTTTTTACTCATTTCAATAGAATTCCATCAGGTTTAAGTCTCATTTTTGTACTGTTTTGCCTTAAAAGGCATTTTCCAGAGTCTTTTTCTGGCATCTTTGTGTTCTGCAATTTAATTTTCAATTTCACTTTTTTTCCAAAATATCATATGTGCATGTGTTTGTGGTGATATCTGATTTTCCTGTAGTTTCATAGCTTAAAGATTTAAGAGGAACCAGAAGTATTCTTAAACCTTTTAAACATCTAATTAAAAGTGATGAAATGTTTCTTATTTTTCCTAAAGAGTTCAAATTACTTACAGATATTTTCTATTAGATATTTTTGTATTTAGAACCACCACATATAGCTTTGCCTAATAGTTTTTATGTACGAGATTGGATTTCACATTCTATCCTATGTAATAACAGAAGAGCACAACTCATACATGCTGTTCCTATATTTGCAATGTCAATGGTAATTAGATTCTTTAAAATTTTGAATTGTCATATCTTTCGATGTTTTCTCCAAGAGATAAAACTTTTTCAGTCACTGTGGAAAAAAATGAAGTAAAGAAAAAAATTGAAAAAATTTGTAAGAAAAATTATAAAACCACTGAATAATGATATTAGACAGTTGTAAATCTTTTAAGTCCAAAAAAAGCTTCTGTTTTTCATGTTTTAACTTTTACTTTTAGAAAAGCATCTTATGTCAAGTGAATATGATAATACAAGATGTTATCTATTTATTAGGTTTTAAACAAAACTAAAATAGAAGCTACTGTACTCTTTCTTGAGTGTCTTAGATTTAATTCCAATTAGACATTTCTTGAATTTATGCATCAGAGTTATGTACAGTACATGTAAAATTATTTTATATGAACCCAACAGTGTTGTATGAATTTAAAGATTATTTCCAAGGCTAAGGGCTAAAAGTAAGGGCTAGTCAGTTGCCAGTGACAAGACATCAATTTTGGTCAAAATGACTGACAAGGCAAGGATTTGACTGGACAAGTATTTTCAATTCTGGCCAGGAATTGTTCAATGACCTTCCCTTACTTTTGTCCCTGATAGTTTCTTCTAAAAACATGTGGATTAACCATTGATTTTCTTTGTTTTACAGCGGCCAAAAGTCCAATTCTGAAGATCCTAGTACCTAACTATGCAGCAGGGTCAATCATTGGTAAGGGGGGTCAAAACATCGCTCAGGTACAGCAGTCTACAGGTGCACGCATAAAACTATCACCAAACAACCACTATTACCCAGGCACTCAAGAACGCATAGGTCTCATCATAGGCGAAGTTGACACCATAATCACTATGTTGGACTTTGTTATTGACAAGATCAGACAAGAACCACAGGGGGCAAAGGTTAATTCTAATATCACATTTGATCGAGAGCGGGCTAAGCAGATGAAAATAGTTGTTCCAAATTCCACAGCAGGTATGATTATCGGTAAAGGAGGAACAGCTATAAAGTCAATAAGCGAACAAACCGGAGCAAGAATACAGATTTCACAAAAAGATGCTGATAGTGTCGCTGGGGAACGAGTTGTATGTGTAAGTGGAGAGGAGGACCAAGTTCAAGCAGCATGTGCCATTATCACTGCCAAAGTTCAGGAAGACCCTGAACACGCATTAAATAATAATATCATGTATACTGGTCTGACAACAAGTAGAGGAGGACACTCTAATGGTCACTTTGGTTCCAATCTACCATTAAGTGCCTTGTCAGGGTTTGGTGGACTTGGTCTGCCAAACACTGGCAGTCAAGGCTCGCAGGCAGCAGCCCCCAATCACATTCTCGCACAAGCAGCACTCATGCAGAGTGGGAGTAACGCATTAAGTAGTGCACTAGGTATGCCACCTACCACCACCGCCACCACCAGCTCAAGTATCCATTCATCTGCAACACTAGAAATCACTGTTCCTGATGAATTAATTGGGGCTATTCTAGGGAAGGGTGGTAAGACCATCAATGAATTCATGCAGTATAGTGGAGCAAGGATTCAGGTATCCCAAAAAGGGGAATTCGTCCCAGGTACAAGTAACCGTAAAGTAGTCATAACTGGTGATGTTCAAGCTGCACAGCTAGCTCATTTCCTTATCACCCAGCGGCTTCAACAAGTTGAAGCAGAGCGATTAGTTTCTCCACCACATCGAGCATAAACAACAAGGTTTTTAGATCGAGTAGAATATTAAATTGTTTTACATGAATGTGAATACAGAGATGCAAAAAAATAATGATGATTATCTCTGGTTTGAATTAGTCTTTCCTGAAGATTTCTATTCTTAAAGAATGAAAAAAAGTGGCCAGAATTGCTACATGTTTTAGATAGGATTTTTCCCATCATTGCTGTGGGGGTTGAATTCTACAGTACAAAATATTGCAAAAAGAAAACAAAAAACAAAAAAGACACTGGCTAGAGACAATCTATTGTTCACATCAAATATTTATCCTCCTACGCTCAGTCGTTGTGCAGTTGCCTTTTTGCAAACCATCACTTTGGAAATGCTTTTTAAAAATCAGCATTATTTATGTATGTGTAAGGAAAAATGCCTTGAGAATGGATGCCCATAGATTGCACTTATCAATGTTAGCCACAGGGTAGGAGAGCAAACCAGCTAAGGGATTTTGACGAAGAACCACTGCCCAACGTCCCTGAAGAACAACACTTTTGACTTTATTGGCTTCTAACAAGAAGATAAAAACTTGGAAAAGATTCACAGTTGATTTCAGTGGGTTCGATTAGTTGAAAGTTTGAATGACCATACCGCATAGTTTATCTCGCAAATTTCAATTCCAATGGGATTGCCCTCCCCACCCTATATTCCTGGGGCTTACAGTTGTCAAGTGCACACTGTCATCATCTTTTGCCATGTACATAAAGACCATTGCTGAAACCTTTCTCTTTCAGTTGTACATCTTTCTAAGAATTACAAATGTTATTCAGAAAAATTGCAATTCCAGACTGTACATTAGGCTTCGCAGTTTATCTTTTTTATTATTTATTACTCACCTAGTAATTATAACTTCTCATAGAAAAATATATATGTGGAAGGAAGTCTAGAGAATTATTATTTTGGTCATTTTTAAGTAAAAATAAATCAAAAATATTAATCCTTTTTAATTCGCTTGTTCTAGCAATCATTTTGTATGTTTCACTCATCGTACCTCGCTCAGTCTCATATATTCACATTTCATGTACATATTTCATTTGATATTTTATTCGATCACCAATCATTTTCATCCCTGGACTGCATTTCATGTTTTACACTTTCATCAAAACCCTTTCATCATCAAGATCATTTTCCTTATTTGTTTCTAATAGCTGTAATACATGTAGTTTTTGATTATTGTTAATTTTTTTCCCACATATTCATATTGCTGTTATTAATCAATTGATTAATGTCAATCAGTTAAATCAATTAGATAGTTTTGGTAGTTTCATATAATTATTACCCAAACAAGAACCCCAAGCAATATCAATTGGAAAGTTTTGAATACATAAACACAAGACTTCTTGTACAGGCTTGACCTTTGTTGTTGAGGAAAAAGCTATCTCATTATAGCAATTTTAAATACCAGAGTGAAATCCCTTTATGTATCTTACATTATTCTCAAGCCTATGCGAGTAAAACTTTTGTGAAATAGAATATTAAATTGTTCAAACTGTAAAAGGGTAAAATATATGATTTGCTAAAGTTTGCAGGATTTTCTGATTGCACTTTACATAGAAGTTTCAACATCGTTAGATAAGACCTAATATTCATAATATAAATTGTATGTACCATTTTGGGCTTTCTCGTAGTTGGGTTTCAGTTTAATTTTTGTAGATGGCTGTAAAACTCTTGCACCAAAATTTATGATTGACTTGCTAAAATGATTCAATACATTCTTAAATGGTCATTCCTTTAGCTTTAGTTATTAGCAAGTTGGACATATCTTATATCATTATATTCTCTTATGACTCTTGCAGATAGTGAATTGCTTTTTCATCATGACATTCAGATGTACTATATTTGATTTTAGTAAGTTCGCTTTGTGTGGAAAAATGTTTGAGATTTTGATTTTTTTGACTAAGCGTAGGGCTGCAAATTACACAGTTTCAAAGCCAAGTATCATTAGGAAATGTTAGGAAAAAATTACGAAGATTCTGCCAAAAATTGTGATTTTTCTTGTGAAATACCCTGACAGTATTAAGATATATTCTCCATGAACAGGCTATGCACTTTTGAGGCAAATTTTGATTGTGCTGAAAAACTTTGCTAAATTGAGCTTATTGCTTACGCATTTGTTCACATCATTTCTGGGTTACATCGTTGCCATAGCAACTGTTTTTTTGTAACAATCATTAACAGCTTAGATAGATTTTTAATAATAAAATAAAAAACATATCCTTAGTAGATTGATCTAAAAATCAACTGCCATTTTTATAAGGTAACATCCAACAACTGTACTTGAATGTTCAATGGTATATTAGAAGGGTAGTCAGCCTATATTGCACCTTACTCTATCAGTGTACTATCAGCTGTAATTTCAATCTAATCACATATTGGCTATTCCAAGGTGAAGGAAAAAAGGTGGGTCAAGTTGTCATTGCAGTGCATTGTGGGGCTGTTTTGGGGGACACACTTCCAAGATGGCAGCTATTTTGTTCCCCAAAACCCACTACAATAACAACTCAACCCAGTTTTTTCATCAACCTCGGCATGGCCAATAATAACAATCATTATGATATATTTTTAATAATCGTGTGATCATGCATCAAGGTACATCAAGACATCTGTATCATCACAAAATGAACACTGAACTTTCATGAACGATATCCACAATCATGTAATCATCTCATGATCGGTCTTATCAATTTTAGTGTACCTTGCTTGTTACTGGTTTTCATTTATTTCATATATGTTCATGTACTCTTCATTGCACATGTACAATTATCATGTAATAAAAGTATACTGTCAGGTCATACTCTGTTTTCTCTGATCATTGCCTCAAACGTGCCATCACCCATGCTTTTTCTATTTCTTATCACTGGGTCTTCAATTCCCACTTCTACCTGTGTTTCAAAAACATTTCTACGTGCTCATGTCACATCCATGGTTTTTTTGCCACAAACTACCCATTCTTCCATAAATAAGGTGTAAGGAAATGTTATGTTGAAAAAGAGTTTTGGGATTGGGTAAACACAATTATCAAACTCATTAATAATGCATGAGGAAAACAACARMRRAAATCATGACCGTGAAGAGTGTTGTAAATCTGATAGAAAACTGTGTTCATTTGCATAAACTTTAAGTTGGATTTTCTTGGCCAAATTCACTTTCATTTTGAAAATTTTAGTGAAACACAAAGGAACTAACCTAGACGTTTGATAAGTCATATACAGTATTCGTGTCCGTGTTGTGTCAGATATACAGTCACTCGGCTACTCCTCGGTTGTATATCTGATACAACACGGCCACTCATACTGTATATATTACTAATAATTTAACTAGCCCTTCACAAGCACACGCTCACCAATAACAAATCACTTCATTCTCCCACTGCACCATACATTCCTAACACAATAATAATCTATTGGCCATTCCAGTGGGGTGCAGAAACTTGTAAAGAGTAGGACTTGCCCTGAAGAAGGACAGAATTGATTTTTTCAAAGAGTGTACCACCTTTGGAAAGCCAAATAAACCTTTGGTTTTGTGTAGGTGTGAATCACAGTCCCAAACTTGTCAATAGGCCTACCTTCGCTGCTATAAACCTTATTAGCAAATGTTTTCACATCTGTCTTTCCTTAATTTTTTAAAAAAGTTATCTATAATATATGTGAAACGAGATGTCTAAAATAGGCTGTCGTCAATTAATTACATTCATTGGTCTTTCATTCCCACTCGGACAAGTCTTCAGTATTAATTATGGAGGATAGAACTATGTAAGACATCCTACACTTTGGCTAGCACATTTAATGTGATAGCATATAACGTCAAGTTTTGATGCAATTTTATAATTTGGTAAGGAGAAAAATGTCACTTCTATTTCAACAAGCCATCTATTTCATCGACTGAATAAAATCTCATTCAATATTCAAAGTGTGGACTGTATCATTATTGCATTACTATTCCATTAACTTTACTCTCTCAAATTATTATCCTATCCTACAACAAACACATTTTATTGCAGTTGGCTAAAATACCAGGAATGAATATACCTGTTTTCCTTGTCCTACTGGAATGACCTCATCTCATTTTATGCAAACAGCTGTTACTTAAAAAACTGGGCACTCAAAAACTAATGCACAGTTCTTAAATTTATCCATACATGTATGAAAAAAATACTAGTTTTGTAGTGCTTTTCATAAGGTATTTTGGTATCAACTATCTAATTGTCAAATTCACTCAAGCATGAACCAAACAAAGACGCATAGAGGCATTTGCTTTCGTTCCTAACGTTCTGCTCAAGTAATAATCACTATTTGTGCAAAATAGTGCAATCAGACAATGCATTTTGGTTTCATTGAATGGAAATACCTGGCTGGCCCAAACTCTGTTTGATGTTAGCCAAAAAAGAAAAGGCATTCAGATTTTAACAACTTGTTTAGTTTGCTTATTTATTATTCTATCATCTTTGTTATAAACGTGGACAAATTAACAGAATAAGAGGCATGGTTACTGCGACAGTATAGCTCTATTACTGCAGACCCAAGATGCATTGCTCAATGCTGTCAAAACACCCCGAGCCTGGAAAATTTTGACTTGGCCATGCATTTTCACAAGAAATATTACAATATTATTATTATTAATGCATGCAGACATTTACAAGAAACTAAAATGTTGCCAGACCTAAGTATGCAAGACCTGTTATACAGGTAAAGGAATCTTCAATTTGTTTGTTAAATTCAGGTAGGTGTGGTGTTTCACATGATTTTGCCAAATAAAATATTAATTTCACAAGTGTCCCAGTTCTTGATCACCAAATATATTTATTTCTATAAAGTTTGTCACCAAAAACCTACAAAACTGAGATTGCTAAGGATGATTTCATAATCAACTAGCAATAAGCTTTTTGATACAAACTTACTGTAGCTTTAGGATGCCTACCAGATGGGAAACAGTCTCAGCTTTGTGGCTATGATGGTGATTAATTGCCCTATTTCACTATGACGTCACTGCTTGTTTATGTGGGGGATAGAATCGCCAAATTTAATGAAAATTCAACAAAATTTGCTCCTTGCGAAACAGTTTAATCTTTGTGGATTGACACAGGGTTTAGAACAATTTTCTGTGAATTTCCGTTGATTTGACCCCCTCCAACGACCATGATCCAGAAGTGAGGCAATTTCATTAAGGATAAACAAAAGATTTTATTCTGGTACGCGATGTTTTCTTCTTTTACACTGTAAAAAAATAGTTACCGGAGAGCCAAAGAAATACAACAGAATAGTTGAAACTGTTTCTCGAGGATCTAGTTGTATGTCACGTGCAGAGCTGTGGATTAAGAGGGGCGCTTGTTTGCAAGAGATTAGGAAGGGTCAGCCCTTCACTCTTGGGTAATCTCCAACTTAAAAACTTCCTGTGAAATATGTCAAGCAAATAAAGCAAGGCCAGGTTTTTTTGCCAACTGCCTACTATTTAACTGGCTACTAACATAGCTAGAATTAAACACCTTAGATAAAATTTAAGGAATGCTACAAATAGACCAAAATTATTAATCTTGAACTTTTATTTCTCACCCTCAAATACTGAATGCTTACAGTCAAAGTTAAAGCACAAAGTTACTTGAAAAAAACCTTGGGCTTGTACTAGGCAATGATGAAGCTGGAGTAAACTAAATATAACTAGTGAAGTTAATCAAATCTTTCACTTTAATCTTGGTATGACAAGATAACTCGAACGCAGTGTTTCTAATGTTCTGTAAGGTCAATGCTTCTTGGCTTACAGGCTTCTTTATATGACCAACAAACATTAATGCATAATAGAGTACTCCTAATAAGCAGTTAAGTATGCAAGGTCAAGTATTGAGCTTCATTTTAACATCTTAATCAACTTCCTCCATTTTGGACGAGTCATCTCCTTCATCTCCTTCAAGTGGTGGCATGTCTTCTACACTGGCATCTTCAGTAGCAGCTGAAAAATGATAATAAAAAAATTACCAAAATAGTATACTTTATGCACAATGACACAAAGATAAATCAAAAGAAATCCCTTATCACATAAAGTTGTAAATTCATGGTTGTATTTGTGAGTAAGTTCCCTACCTTCTGCCTCGGCATCCTCATCAATTCCCAAACCAAGTCCGATCATTCTGTAGATACGTCCAGCATGTACCTGTGGGTCTTCCAAGGTGAATCCAGATGACATCAGAGCAGTTTCGTAAAGAAGCATGACAAGATCTTTGACAGACTTGTCGTTCTTGTTGGTCTCAACCTTGGTTCTCAGGGTCTCCATGATGGAATGATCAGGATTGATTTCGAGATGCTTCTTGGCAGCCATGTATCCGAGGGTGCTGTTGTCACGCAAGGCTTGGGCTTTCATGATACGTTCCATGTTGGCTGTCCATCCAAACTGACTGGTGACGATACAGCATGGTGATGACACCAATCGAGATGAGACCACAACCTTTTCTACCTTCTTGTCCAAGATGTCCTTGATAACCTGCACACAAACATACAATGATTTAAGTATGAATAACATATTTCACTAATCAGATTCCTCTCTTCATCTTTCCTCCCCCCACCATCACCAAAAGAAAACAATATACAACGCATCTTACACACCTAATAATTATGACTAACCTTGCAGAGATTTTCAAATTGTGCATTCTTTTCTTCACGCTTCTTCTTCTCATCTTCATCTTCTGGGAGCTCCAGACCTTCCTTGGTTACACTGACCAATTTCTTGCCATCATATTCCTTCAATTGCTGGACAGCGTATTCATCGATGGGCTCAACCATGTAGAGCACTTCAAATCCACGCTTCTTGACTCTTTCAACAAAGGCAGAGTGTGCAACTTGATCTCTGCTCTCTCCAGTGATGAAGTAGATATCCTTCTGGTTTTCTTTCATGCGTGAAACGTAATCCTTTAATGATGTCATCTCGTCACCAGATGTAGAGGAATGGTATCTTATTAATTCAGCAATCTTGTTTCGGTTGACGCTGTCTTCGTGGATGCCAAGTTTAATGTTCTTGCTGAATTGCTCATACATCTTCTTGTAATTGTCTTTGTCCTCTGCAATTTCTGCAAAAAGTTCCAAACACTTTTTGACGAGGTTCTTGCGGATGACTTTCAAGATCTTGTTCTGCTGAAGCATTTCTCTTGAAATGTTCAAAGGCAGATCCTCGGAGTCGACAACACCCTTAATGAATCCCAAATACTCAGGAATTAAGTCCTCGCAATTGTCCATAATAAATACTCTGCGTACATACAACTTGATGTTGTTACGCTTCTTCTTGTTCTCAAAGAGGTCGAAAGGAGCTCTTCGTGGGACAAACAGCAGTGCTCTGAACTCCAACTGCCCTTCAACGGAGAAGTGCTTGACGGCCAAGTGATCTTCCCAGTCGTTGGTCAAACTCTTGTAGAACTCTCCATATTCCTCATTCGTGATCTCATCAGAATTTCTCATCCAGATGGGCTTGGTCTTATTAAGCACCTCTAGATCAGTGTATTTTTCCTTAATTTTCTTCTTCTTTTTCTCCTTTTCCTTTTCTCCCTCTTCATCGACATCCTCAATCTTTGGCTTTTCTGTGTCTTCCTCCTCCTCTTCCTTTTTCTCCTCTTCCTTTTTCTCCTCTTCCTCTTCATCATCACTTACTTCCTTCTCTCGCTCTTTCTCAAGCTGTAGAGAAAAAAATGAACCAGATTCAATCAATCTTGTGGCATTTCTGTCTTCATGTCTCAACCAATTAATAATATTATTCATAATTTATCCACAGTTCCTAACTATATTCATGTATATGGCTGCAAATAAGTGCTGCTCATTGGCAAATATCTGTTAAAAAGATGACTTGACTTGTAAATAATCTGTCTTGGCCAGACATTAGACCGAACACATTTTATCAAAATATAAGTAAATAATATCTATTTTTTTATCCTCAACCCTTGGTTTTTTACATATCTCTGGCCCAACAAAGTACCTTCTTATCGATTTTTTGTTGTTGTGGCAATCAGGAACCACAATGTATATTGGGCTACATGAGACTCACTACTGACCAGCTCTAAATAAGACTTATGATAAACTCATTTGGTAGAGCGCTTGTTCAGGTCATGGGTTGGATTCCATCTTAAGTCTTGGATTTTTTCTGAATTTTTCTCACATAGAAACTGCATTGATGTGTCACTTCAATGTTCCATTCAGTTTAAATTTTACTAATTTCAAAACAAAATTCAAAGGTAAAAAGAAATCCAATTTACCTGAAGATAGATTGGATAGCCAATGAATTGGCTGTGCTTCTTGATGGTTTCCTTGATTTTCTTATCATCCAGGTATTCAGTCTGATCCTCCTTCATGTAAAGGACAATCTTGGTACCCCGCCCAAGAGGTTCTCCAGTATCACGGCGAACTGTGAATGAGCCACCAGCTGCAGACTCCCAGATGTACTGCTCATCATCGTTATGTTTGGTGTATACTACTACTCTATTTGCAACCAGATAAGCCGAGTAGAAACCGACACCAAATTGACCAATCATAGAAATGTCTGCACCAGCCTAAATAATAAATAAATAAAATGCAAGAACTGTTACCAATATCAATCAACATTTTCTGTTTCTAGATTCTTGTCACTTGAGTAGATTGGGTATCTTACCAGGGTTGCAGCAAGGGGGAGGGGTGACCACCCCCAGGATGTTACTAAGGTACTAAAATTATTAAATTTCCCTTTTTATCTTTGGGGCTCCCTGTGGATTAGGCAGGATTTTTCACACTCAAACACGTGCGCTTGCCCCTCCAACTCTTATGCTCTTACTACACCACTGTAGTCCCTTCTTCAAAAACCCAGCATGCTAAGCCAAAATGGCCACTTTACAAACAAGCAAGACACAGCAGAGTTTTGAATTTTTATCCAATTAGCAAAATTTCTCCTCTATCTAAGACATCTCATTATTAGAAAATTTGGGCATGTTTCAGAACCGAAATCATGAGCTTTTGAAAGAGCCAAAAATTTACAAAGGATGTATGTTTATGGTGGAAGCAATTGATTTGTCAACTTACATTTTTAAACAAAAATAACATACCTTAAGAGCTTCCATGAAAGACTTGGTACCACTCTTAGCGATGGTTCCCAGGTTGTTGACCAGGTCAGCCTTGGTCATACCAATACCAGTATCCCTGATGATCAAACAGTTTTGTTCTTTCAAGGGAATGATCTCGATTTTAAGATCCTTGCAGGAATCCAACTTGCTTGGGTCTGTCAAACTCTCATAACGAATCTTATCCAGAGCCTGTAGGTTCCAAAAAAGGATGAAAGTTATATTTTTGCATTCAAGACAAGTTGCTATTCAATTTTGTAAATATCTCGTAAAATCTAGCATCCAAACTGTCCACTATAAAGTATACTTTCATTATGCAGTGTCCAAATTACAAATATCATACCCAACACTTGACTGAAATTTTAGGGATCTCTGACCCATTTATATTAGAAATTACAACATATATTGTTACATATAAATGCAAGATTTAGATTTCCAAGCATATTGCATTTTTAGTTCCATCGTTTAAAAGTTCGTAAACTTTTAAATTGAAAGCAGCAAAGAGGGGTGGAAAAGTCCACGTGGGGAGAAGATTAACTTTGATCAGGATTGTGCAATAAGTTCTGAAGTTTACTAAATTTTAAATTTATGTAATAATTCTAAAAGAAATGAATGTTACTTGGTTATTCTGACCTAAATCGCAGTTAAATAACCCGTGTTTAATTTAAGAAATTGTGTTTTTGGCTGATATTGGTATTTCCTTTTAACGCGAGCACATGTATAAGCTGCCAAGCGTCCCATGTGCTTCCACGAAAACTCCTAATTACAAGAATTAAAAGTTTTATTCCATGAGTTTGAAGACATTTTAATATATAATACCCCAAATTAGTCAAAATACGGGTCATGTGCTGTACTTGAATCAAAAATTTAAGCGAAAACGAGTGAATTTGAAGTCAGGTTAGACGTTTGAATGAAAAAGCCGGTAGTTCTTGCACTTCCGCACAAGATCACTTCGGACTCGAAAAAATTTCTCTTATGAACGGAGATTTTAATAAAACTAGTAAATATTAGAGTGATAAGCTGTTTTAGGTTTTAAATGTGGATCAGAGATCTCTAAAGATGAAGGAAAGCTGAGTCATTCTCGACCATCCCACTTTAAAGCCACGACTCGTTCAAACCATGCTGTCAAACTCAACGATCACGAAAGCATGCTTTTACGAGGAATATTAAAGCTTATCAAACACGTTCTTAAAATTTCAAGTCTATAGAGATTTTTACAATCGAGATAAAAAACATATTTGACTTACATCAGATGCGTTTGAGATCAATTCTCGAAGAAAGATCTCCTTATTCGAGTAGAAAGTATTGATGATCAAGCTCATCAACTGGGCAATTTCTGCCTGGAAAGCGAAGGTTTCGGCTTCAGCTTCCTCCTCCATTTGCTGCACTTCTTCAATTTCTGCCATGTTTCTCTAAGGATCGATGTGTAGAGAGCTGAAAATTAAGTGAAACGAAGTCTCCTCGAAGGACAAAAATTCTGCCTTTCAATTTTTTCAAGCCAGCAACTGCACGTGCGAAGGCGATGTCGAAATTTAAAGCATCGTGGAACATTCTAGATTGTTCTAGAGCATCAGCGCTTTTTGCGGCATCTGATTGGTCCGTTTCAAATACCTTGTTTCCTATTGGTCAGGATTTCGGTTTCTAGGAATTTTTAGGAGGATTACGTCACTTTCCTTTTATTCTTCCTGAAACCTGCGTGGATTCTAGGAACATTCTAGTTTTTTCTAGAAAATCCGATAAATAATAGAAAATATATTATTTCTCATGCTAAATAAATATGAAGCTGGAGGAACATAAATGGCTGCTATTTATATATTTCCTACTTTTTCTCGCATGGTAAAAGCATGTGAGTAAAAATAATTGGACATATTTCTTCATTTTGTCTTTATCTTGTGTTTAAACGTATGTTTCCTTTTTTGGAAGAAGTTTTTTTACTATACATAAGGGGTTTTCTAGAAATTTCTAGGACCTTCTATTTCTCCCAGAAATCGTTCTCTTTCTAGAATCATCGTTTTTTTCTGGAAAGTTTTACATGAAATGCGTAATATTTATCGCATTCAAAAAACTATTGCGTAAGAATCGAGTTGGTAAGGTGATTTTTAACCATTCCCAAGTTATCAAAAGACAAAGACATGGCGGCCATGCTGGTGGACAGATACAAAATGACCTAAGGACAAGTCTTTTGTCAAGAAAAAGAAAAATTAGAGTCCAGATGAGCAAACTTTGGGAGCAAAGTCTCCTTTTACCTCCTTCACCGGTGGAGGAGATAAAAGGAGACTCTGCTCGCTAATTATTCATTACTCAGTCTTGCAAACCTGAATAGACAAAGGACTTCACTAATTCGACAGGAGTTTGTCCAATGAATCCCCTAAAGTTCAACCACCTGTGCCGTTCTAACAGATGTGCAGGAAGGATGAAGGTCAGTTCTGTTCTTCCTATGAATAAAGGCATTGTTCTTTCTTAACTAATAAAGCTCTAAAGTTCGGCAGGCATCATTGTAATAATTCAGCATGTTGTGGCGAATTTCAGATCAGACTGGAGTCAAGCCAATCTTATTTTGTAAAAAAGGACGAAAAGAAAGAAAAACAAATAGAAAGAAATAAAAGTTTCGCAATTATTATTCACATAACTGATAATATCGTATACCGCTGCATTAATATATTTTCTTGGGCCATGTATTCTGTTTTATTTCATTCATTTAGTAGACGCCATGTTTTCGTAAAGCTTTCTACATTCTTGAAGATCTTCTCGATTTCTAAGCAACATCTCGCGGTCAGCTGGAAGGTTCTTGAACAATTCAAAGGCTTTGCCAGCAGTAGAGTCAGGCAATGGTTTATAATAATATAGAAGGTCGTTTCTTGTGTCCTGTTCAGATGAAGGAAATCCAGTATTAAAGAAAGGGTGCTTTGATATTTGACTTTATATGGACTTTATTTTTGGATCGTGGGGGAGGGAGGAAGGGGGAGTGGGGAAAGGGGGGGTTGAAGTGGGTTGGGAGGTGTGGGAAGTCATCCAGATGAATGTTGGTGTAAAGGAATAATAAAGGGATTGAGGTAAATATAAAATGATACTCACATCCACTTTAACAGCCATTACGTGTTTCAGTAGGGCCAACTTTCTCTTTAGTAGCATAGTGTCCTTGAAAAAGATGAATAGAATCAAAGCACGAAGAAAAGAAAGCAAGGACGAAACCAGGGAAAAGGGACGAAGTAAAGCAGAGCTCGAGAGGAGAGGCGAGGCGTAGCGAGGCGGGTCGGGTCGGGGAGAGGAGGGGAGGGGAGGGGAGGGGAGGAGAGGAGAGGAGAAATGCAGTACGGATGGAAGGAAAGAAAAAATGTAAAGGATGGGAAAAGAGACAAGTGGTGAATTATTACCTTTGGGTCAATTCTCTGGTAGATAAAGGCGTTCACATGATGAACAACAACAAGATAAAAGAATGGACACCAACGTGGGCTGAAAGACGAAACGATTTGCAATCATTGACTTATTGCATTTTCATTTCAATAGTTTTAAAACGTGTATTATTATTGCCAAACTTTCTTGTTAGACTATTCGACAAAGTTTCGCCGGGCTCCGTGCATGGCAGTACAAAACTGGTTTGGGGAGGGGTTCAGGGGAAATTGGAATGAAGGAGCCCATCCCGCCCCATCCACAGTCTAATTTAGGGCATTACGTAACCTAAAAGTCTACCAACTTACCGTACATCCTGGTTTGATAAAGCGCGCAAGTACAAGTATAAAAGAATATCATCTTGCTCAACCGGGTACAAGAAGTAGTCCAGGGGGACTGGCACCTAAAATCAGTAAAATACAAAAAGAAACACTAAATATGAGCAACTATTGGACAATTTGCCAGAGGCAAGGAGTCATTTATTCATTAATGTTGAAGTCAACGTGCGCATGCTCCACAAGTTATTTTTATGCAACACGAGTTTTCTGGACTAGGACTACGCACTCTCTTGCCGTTATTTCCGCCCATTTATTTACAGGTACATCAACCAATCAGAAGATGGTATATATTTTAGTCGAATGGTAACAGAAATAATAATTTTCATTTGAACAACAATGCAACGCGCGCTAATAATTCGGGACCGCCTGTTTACCAAGCTTTGCTCATCTCAAATTCACTGCAGTCATTGATAATAATAATAATAATAATAATAATAATAATAATAATAATAATAATATTTATTTATACACGATAAGTTATAATCGTGTTCTAATCCTAGGTCCTAAGCTATACTAGTCCTCTCACTCTCACCCACACACATTCTCTTTCTCTCTCTCTCTTTCTCTCTCTCTCTCATTCTCTCGATCTTATCTACTACTAAGCTAATTATTACATAATTTAATATTTTGACTGGAAAGAGTTATTACATCTTTAGTTGAGATATGTCCTTTTTAAGTTTTTGTTTGAAAATAACGGGGCAACTCGATTCTCTGGTATTGTTGTTGAGTGCGTTCCACAGTTTTGCACCCTGGTACCTTATTGCCTTTTTTCCATGATTGACTGTATGGAAAAGAGGCAATGTTATTTGGTTGGAACTACGTAGGGAGTAGCCAACATCTCTCTTTTTGATGTGGTCCTGCAGTTCCTGGTTGGAATCTAGGTTGTAGTAGCACTTGTGCATGAAAACACCCAG